AATCATCATTAACTTCGTGCGTAGTATTTTTTACTAAAAAATGTCGCCATTGTTGTTCTCGTAGTATGTGCCTACTAGGAACCCTATAACTTCACTTTTAGCGATTTTCAAAGCATCATTTTTATATATTTTGAACCAGAAAACAATAGGCTGTGCATTTGTTGCTTTTTTAATGTTCTTTTTGCTTTAATGAAGCTTAAAATCATCATTAACTTCGTGCGTAGTATTTTTGACTAAAAAATGTCGCCATTGTTGTTCTCTCGGTTGTTCTCGTAGTATGTGCCTAGTTGGAACGCTATAATTTCACTTGAAGCGATTTTCAAAGCATCATTTTTATATATTTTGAACCAGAAAACAATGGGCTGTGCATTTGTTGCTTTTTCAAAGTTCTTTTTGCTTTAATAAAGCTGAAAATCACCATTAACTTCGTGCGTAGTATTTTTGACAAAAAATGCCGCCATTGGCATTGTTGTTCCCGTAGTATGTGCTTTTATTTATAAAACAATACTCACATATTGACTTATACTCGAAACCCCGTACATAAACTTTTTATCTTATAGCTAGTTTAAAGGGATATGCACTTATCGTCTTCAAAACTTTTTTCAGTCATTTGATATTTATATTTAAGCTAAAAATCGCCAATGTCAATAATGAACTGTTTAATAAAAATTTTTACTGATAGATGCCATACAAAAAAGGATTTTCGTCTTTTTTCGAGATTGAAAAAGCAGCAGTTTAAAGTAATGAAAAAGGCTAAAAGTACGAAACGAAAACTAAGCAACAATCTAGAAAAGGCCAGAAAGGTATAAAATACTATATTAAATCATACCTAAAATAAATAGTCTGTCTTTAAATTTTGACCAAACAATGGACTGTAAACTACCTTCTGTATATAATCCCACATCAATTGCTTCCATGAGTTCCATCTCTCGAGTAAAATGCTTTCCAATCATAGATATATCTATTCATAATCGAACAGCTATAAACAACTCTTGAAATGTTTTATTCTTTTGTGAAATGTTTCGAAAAATGTTGAATTTTTGTTTAAATGAGCCCGCAAGATCTGCAGCTGGCCGCATCACGGATGGCGCGCGTAAAACATTAGGCGTTTCCAGTCCCTGTCTTCTGGATTGTCTATGATTTGATGCACCCGAAATGTCACGTGACGTACCTTTCCAACATCTGAAATTAATTAGCTCGAAAGCCTTTGAAGTTTGCCGGCCTTCCAAACCCTGACCTCTATTAACTATGGTTAATGCAAGACCACACATTGTGATCCTTACCACAAACAACACACTCCTTTTCTTGAGTTTCAGTAGACGAACACAACGCTGATGTTGAAGACCTTCTGAATGATGGATTTTTGTGAAATCCTTCCTTCAAAGAAATATTCTTTGGAGGTTCGGATTCTACATTAGGGGCTTGTGTACTAGATTCCTTTGCCCTTATAACTTGCTCTAAGAAAGTAAAGAGTGTTTTTATAGGCAAACAGTCCTCTTTCTTATCTCCAATTTCAAGCTCCCACTTTTCCACAAGTTTTTTTGGTAGCTTATCAACAATCAAAGGAACCAATACTGGTGCCAAGATTTCAGAGCTATACTTCTCTCCCATTGACTCAACCGAGCGAACATGCCCGACTACTTTATCATAAAACACTCTCATAGATGTTGCATCTTCAGCACTCAATCTGGGTAAATGGATCAAACCCCTCATATGGGCATCCAAGATCAACCTTGAATGACCAAATCTTTCCTTCAGAGTTGACAAAACAGATTCATAATTCTCAGCCACTATTGAAAATCCCTTAACCGACTCACCAGCTACACCCTTCAGTGATCGCATAATGTACTCTAGTTTTTGTACATCTGCTAAAGCACTATTATCCACAATGGATACTTTAACAGACTGATAGTATGACTGCCAACACAATATATCCCCATCAAATGTTGGTAATTCAATCTTTGGCAGTCTAACTTGAACTTTACATGTGGACCCCAAACTTGACCCACTCTCGTTAGACCCATTGCTGTTCTCAGCATGTGTATTAACACTTAAATACTTTGTCATTCTAGCCATATAATCCATAACTCTCATTTCATACTCATTGTGTGCTGCACATTTACTCTCAATTTCACTGTCTTCCAAATATATAGAAAGCGAGGCTTGTACCTCTGTTAAATCCTTCCATTTACTTAAAATATTATCTTTCAGTACCTGAACTCTAGCATGACTATTTTCCTCTGCAAGCGCTTCATCAATCAACTTTAAACTGTCCGTCACCAACTTCCTCATAAAACGTCGCTTCTTTTTCACGCCTTCTAGCTCTTTCGACATGCTTCCAACAAGCAATAAACACTATTTATTAACGCCAATCGTTAAATACTAAACTTTTCTTCTATCCGACACGAAGGACCATGTTTTTAAACTTATTTAATTTAATTCGCAAAATATACGGAAAACTGGCGTGAAATTTAACATAAACAAAATTTAGAAAAATATAAAGTTACTTTCGTTTTGTACATATTCGGGGAGCCCCCTGCAGTTCCTCGAACCAGTCTCTTTCTCAATAATAATCAATTTCTACTCTGGAACACATGTAAAGCAGTAGAATAATTTGCGTCATTGCTCATGTTAAGTTCTTTATAATCCTAGCAGCTCTATTTTTCAGTTTTTGGAGTCGTTTTGATTGAACATGTGAACGGTGCCTAAAAGTGTGACGTTTTTTCAAAAAACATTCATAACTGCCATTAATTGCAGCTGTTTGTCGCCACACCCTAGCTAGTGTACTAAGGAATGACATTCCAATTATTTTCTTTCTTTCTTCAGGTGACCTATTTTCTATCCTCACTGGTGTTGACATATGCACTCGCTTTTATTTTCGCGGTCGTGGTGGAACTGCCCTGCGCAAACCTGGAGGCGCTTGCTTGGAGGAAATGGGAAAAGAAATAAATTATCTTGCCCTTGACTTATGTGAAGAAATGAGAAATTACTGGCACTGTATTTTTTATACCTTATTTTAACTGGATCTCTGAGTTTAGATATTACGAAAATTACGTTAGGTGTTTGTGATTGCGATAGAGCCTTACAGCTTATTTGGTATAGAGCTCTTCGGGCAGAATTTAGACTGGGATAACAATAACAATAATAATTAAGATTTTCATCAGACTAGTTGGAGCACTAAAATTATTTTATACAGTTTAGTTACCATAGTACATTAATATTGATAATTTATGTATACAGTATGTAAATTTTCTTGTCATCTTGATCAAAAGATCAGATCTACTAATACAATGCTCTTTACATTCGCGTTCAGGTTGACTTGCTCTATATTTTTTGTATGCAAATTTTTCCAGAGTACTACAGTATATAGAAGAACTAAAGTGTAAAATTGCTCCTAAATTCGAAACGAAATGGTACAAAAGTCGCTAATATCATGTACTAGGTACATATCATCAACTCATCGAACGTTTCTCATCCTACTAAATGTCAGTATGTTTTGGTGTAATAATACAACTGGGGAAATGCTACACGCGAATGATTTACAGTCAATCAAAAGTCAATATTACAATACAGCTCTTAGTAACTCGAATTTGAAAAGATGTGAACATATCTATGGAAATCTCACATCTCAGCGAATAGCCAGATGTAAGTATGCATAATGCACTGTACCTAAAATTGTTTGTCAAAGTGAACACTTAAAATCAGTTATGTAACCATATTAACATTGATACTTGTCTTAATGATAGCATTTTATCATATAATGCCTGGGGGTTGTGGTTCCCTTTGTTGGATTTTGCCCAAGTGGTTGTAGATTTCCGATATGGAATTTTCTACTTTAAACTAATAATTTGTTTAGTACATAGATTTGTGGACTATGTTGAATTAGCACACTAGCTTGAATCGCTAATGATTTATGTTGAAGTGCCTATATCACCGCGTTATTAGACGACCATGCAGCCAAGCTTAATTAATAAGGTGGTATTCCCCTCAAATTTGTTTTATATTTAAAGGTAGGTTCAAAGCCCCGTTTACACTACGCTCAATTTTTGGTACGGCACGGATAAAATTGGTACCCGTACCACTTTTTTGGTTCTTGGACTATCTATTTAGCTAAGCCTCGTTTACACTACGCTCAATTTTTGGTACCGTACCGCTTTTTGGTTCTTGGACTACCTAAATAGGTAGTCCAAGAACCAAAAAAGTGGTACGGGTACCAATTTTATCCGTGCCGTACCAAAAATTGAGCGTAGTGTAAACGAGGCTTAAGTCCCTTCTGAAATCCCGAAGGTGTGAGTTCGAATAATTTGTGTTTACCTTTGGAGTGTCTCATCATGAAAATAGTTAATGCGGTATATCAATCCTTCGAAACATGTTGCCAGTGTTGTTCTTGTCATTATGACAGAAGCGCTTGGGGAAAGCTTTTCGCTTGACGAAATTCGAAACTGACAAGTGTGATTGAGAATGTGGCTGCAGTTCCTGTCTTCGTGGCAAAGCCAAGGGCGAATTTTTTGACCGTGCAAAAGCTGGATAAACAGCTTTTGTTCAAGCTCGTGCGCGCTATGGAGATGATTTCGGATGCTGTTATAAACGATAGAAGAGTTCAATAGATTGACAGTGACGAGAGTACGAGACGCTAAGATTATATTCAACTTTTTTGTGTTATAAAAATGTATGTTTTGAAATTATGAACTGGAAGTATGAATTCATTAATAATAATTGATATTACACTCATATTGACACTAAATGATGATATTCTTGTGACACTGAATGATCTAATAGTAATATTAACTTCAACAATTCCGGTCAATCTAGTGATCACGTTAGTTCATCATTTACTAAATATATGCTTGAGGACAATTGCTAAATGATATGCTTGTTTCGCTCTATATCAGAGGACAGAGCTCATCAGAATGCTCAGGAAACACTGATCGGAAATTTTTATTTACATCAACGAATCTTTCTTTTTCTTAACAGATTTATTGGGTTATATGATAATACAAATATTTTATAAACAATTATTATTAAAACACATACAGTATTTATCCAAGTTATAGGCATGGATATGACTCAAGGGCTTACGCTTCCCTGAAAATACTGAATATACTGTAAATATATTTTACAGTTTGTGACATGAACAGTCAGGTAAGCACCATTCACATAAGATTAACCTGTTTAGGCTAACTTGGAAAAAATCTAGGTTCTTATTATATGCAGGGTTTTACTGCATGTGTTATCTGATTTCATGTCACAAAACAGGCCATGGCAGCTTGTTCTGACAATAAAATATATATGGGATGGTGCCACTCTTTGTGACACAAAATCAGGCAATCATGGTACAAAATGAACTGGCTTGTGTTTCAGATTGCTTTGTGTATAGGAGGCAATCCATATAGGAGTAAGAAAACTCGGATTTCAAACCCCCATGCCAGACCTCACCTTTGGACAATACATGTAGTGACTACATGATCATTAGAACTTGGAAATTAGGTTAAATTCTGGAAGAAAAGCGAGTCATTTTTGGTATGTGAGGTATAATTTACATGTATATATACATATATATAAATTGTGCACAAATTATCTAACTAATAGCTATGTGTAAAGCTATACTGTAAAGCTGCTAACACTTTATTTATCTCAATGACATTTTCAGTGTTCTGGATCATTTTCATTACTTTGTGAAGAGTTTATTTTCTTTGATTTATATACATTTTTAGATTTGATTTGATTTTGTCTTCATGTGATAAAATAAGAACCTAAAATGCCAGCCTAAACAAATTCTTATTTAGGGTGTCTAAATAAAAAAATTTAGCCTGAAAGGTTTTTAAATTGTAGGTTCTTATATGCAAGCGTTTAGTCACAATTAGGGTGAAAAAATATACTAGTAATTATTAGTTGAGTTTGTTTACATCATATAAGTTTCTGTGATCAAAATGTTTTATAAACTGAAGTAGTATAGGGAATGAGGGTTCTAGACCACTTTTTCGGCCCGCGATCCCCACCCACTTCCGGTCAGCGGCTTCTACCATTTCTACCAAAAACCGCGGGCTCAATTTTTCTGAACCAAAAACCATCTTATTTTTTCTGGTCTTTTTAACTCATTTTTACTTGCAATATTTTTCGGAGATTATCAGTCAACTTTCATCTAATCTATAAATTTATATCTAACGATTTACCTAATATCCAATTACATTCAACTTATCACTTCCTGGTGTTCTTATAACTTGAACACCAAGTGACTTCGCTTTCTCACCCAACACCATTCTCAAGAATCCTTTTTCTTCTTTTGGTAGTGTGTCGTAGTTTTTCCTTAGATGATTCTCATCAGTTACGACTACCCTCAATGGTATTTGTTTCTTGAACTTGAACCTCTTCAGTGGAATCACTACTTTATGCTCTGGTCTGGGAAAACGTTTTTTTTTATTTTCCCAGGGAGGTCCTTCGTAGAGTTCCAATGCTTTTTCAAGTCTGTTGTTTCCACTTTCAAGTTCAGCCCTTACTGTTACACAGCTCGGTTCAACTTTTTCTTCAATCACCACCTCAGCGTTCATTTCTCCTATTGAGTGGTGTCCGTACGCGTAACTTGTAACACCATCTTCAAGTAGGTATCTTTTGTCATCGAAACAGCTGAGTGTGATTTTCTTCAGTTCATAAGTTCCGATTTTATGTTTGATGCTTCGGATTGTGTTCATCTTATGTCTCATCAAACCTCTCGTCTTGATTACGTTCTTAAAGTTTTCGTGAGTGAGTTTGTTTTTAATCACGTACTTTTTCACACCTTTCGCGGTCATTCCACCTCCACCACTTTCCTTTACGTAGGAGTACATTTTCGACCTTAAACCAACGAATTCAATCACTGGTACTCCTCCAGCTTCATCCTTAAACTTTCCAATTACCTTCTTATTATGAGCTGAGTAATATGGAGAATCTTTCGGATAATCTGAGTTGTCCCAACAGTCCTTCTCCTCGCCGATCCTCTTGAAGTCCTCATAAACATCATCAGTCTTTATTTCGTACATCAGACTGTCAGTATCTGTGAACAGTAGCTTTGACCTGTCACCGTACTCCTTCTTAATTGTATTGTAATGGAAGTCGTACATAAGAGTCTTTGATAAGTCTAAGATGCTCATTCCAACGTAGCACGGTTTATTCAGAGTTAGAACTTCCTTCATTCTTTTTACCACAATTAAGTTCTCATTCATAATCCTATGTGATTGGAAGCACGGCGACGCTGTAAGTTTTAGGAGGTCTTTTTCCGATGACACTAATTTTACATCAACTCTCTTCCTCAAATTTTCCATAGTCTTTCCATAGATGGAATTATTCATAAGTTTGAAGAAGTTTTTCTCAAACGCATTCTTAGCTGCTGACCGTTTTTGAGTATTGAAGTTCCTTTGGGTATTCCATGTCAACCTCTAAAACCATACCCCTTCCGTTGTCTCCAAGGTAATCATCTAAGTTTGCCACATCAAAATCCTCGATCCACTCAAACTCACCATTAGGCAGCGGCTGCGACATCGCCCAACCATATAAATTGTTGGCATCGAGGTACATAAGGAACTTGTTTTCAAGATCTTCGTCGTACGTTTCCATGTACTTATTATTTGCTGTAGAGTGTCTGTGGGCAATGTGACTTATACCACCTCTCATTCCCTTCTCAAAGAACTGGAACATGTCCATATCACTTACCAATTCTATCTCCTCACCTGACTGTTTTAGGAAAGCATCCCAACTTAGACTTGGTGCTGATATATAGTGAGCAGGGTCAAGCTTGTAGTTTTCCAAGCAGGTCTTCCTGAAATTCTCAAAAACATCTGCTAGAAGAAGAACGTCGGTTTCCAGGTAGAGATCGTGGTAGTCTCTCATGGTTTTCATCTTAAAGTGATCCCATACTTTTAGCGCTCTTTGGTAATCTTCTTCTTTCACCTCCGACTCATATAGAGATGAGTAGAATTTGTCTCTGCTTGGAAGACCCTCAACATTAAGTTTACTAATGTCATCCAAATATTCATATGGAAATATACCTTTTTGTGTCACAAGTTTGAAGTCCTCACCAGTCCACCTCTTGCCAACTATCCTGAAGTCTTCAGGTGAAAGGTTACTCACAAGTGCTTCCAAAGAAGAAGCCATGAACTGTATTGAGTCAATGAACACAAGACTTTTACCTAGTGAGAAGGAAATATATTTTTCCATATTATTTGGGACAACGTTGATGTTCATCTTGAACTTTCCAATCTCCTGCATTATCAGATGGCTATTGTAACCTCTTAGGTTGTGGAAAACCACCGGAACTTTCCATGTGATTCTGTACTTCAGATTACACATATTATGGGCAGCTCCACGATACATTCCAGTTACATGATCGTGGTCTCTCACTCTGTCATCACCCAAGTCGTTACCACATATGGAGCAGTTTCTTGTCATCCAGAACTCAGCTTCTTGTTCTGGTGTAATTACCATCTTTTTCTTGAATATTTTGTTTACCATCTCCCGGCACTTAATAGACTCCTTCAGTACTGTCTTCAGAAAGACATTCGTGGCGTCTTCACCAACGTAACTTATGTATTCACCAGAGTACTGATCATCATAATGACACACTGTTTTTAACCCAAAACTACAGGCTTTGTGCGTTTGGTAAAGGTCTGTACTACTCTTTTCCTCGGGGCTTTCAGGATCAACTTTTCTCTCTTCAGGAACCAGCATGGACTCGAAGTCGGCGTATATTACAAATGGTGCAGGCATTGAGTTCCTGTGATTTTTGAACTTTATTTTCGTACCCTCACTCGGAAGCTTTGTGGCTTGAGTTCCATTTACCTCGAGACATGTCTCCTTATGTTTCTCCAGTGACTCCTTACTTACGCAACTATGAAGGCAGTGCAGACAGAAGTGTTTCTTGTTCGAGTTTCCACTTACACTGAAGAGCATTCTATTTACATCCTTTATTAGAACGTAGTGGTTACCACCATCATTGTCACCTAGTAGCAGCAGCTCCATATGTTTATCATATTTCACCTTAGAGTTCCTGATTGGGTAGAACTGCTTTTTGCCCTTATAGCCGAACACTGATATGCTTATACAGTTCCTTCTCTCAATTTTGTCGATATCACTTATTTTCACAGGGAAGTCTATTCCCTCATAGTCTAGGTTTTCCGAGAACTCAACATCTTCTCGTGTTATTGTTGTTGCTCTCCTAGCCTTTGGTCTCACGTGTCTCACATGACTCCACATGAAACATTTGTTATCTTCATTTTTCATATTAATGAGACCACATTTCGGATTACTAATGTCTGCGGGTAATTTCATATATGAACTACCCTTTAGAGGTTTATACATTGCAATGTTAACGTAGTGGCTTTCAATATTTAGTATAATCCAGTTTGAACCTAGGTTTTGGAATGTTTCAATTCTGGATAGGATTGTCAGCTGGTTTTGTGCTGCAGTGCTTTCGATATCCTCAAAGTTGGTCGCAGTTCCAGTTTTCGACTTGAAGTATATTGAATCCTTCTTTGTTTTGTCGTTACCAATTTCCTTCGACATTCTCACTTTAATTGTTTCTGTATATTTTAGACCTCCCATTCTCTTCAACTCGTTCACTAGTATTCCCCTCACCACCTGCCTACTTGCTGTCATCTGGTCCAGTGGGTCCATATAGTTTGGAGTTATTGAGTAGGTCACAGCTGCTCCATTTGCGGCAGTTTCTATTTTCCTATAGGATGGCTTATCGAGGTATGTTCCAAATGGATCGATTTCATATTCCTCAGGTGTAACCACCACAGGCTGCTCCACAACTTCCCTAGTCACCCTTGCAGGCTTTCGTAACTTTGGAGGAGGCACTGGTTTTTTAGTCCTTGGCTTAGGAACAGGTCTTTCCTTAGGAATTTTAGTTCTAGGTTTAGGAACAGGTTTTTCCTTAGGAAGAACAGTTCTAGGCTTAGGAACTGGTCTCTCTCTAGGTTTCCATGGAGTCACACCTTTTGGCACCTCAGGAGCTTTCCTTGTGGGTTTTTTGCTGAGATCCACTGTCACCGTGAACTTATTTGGTCCCACCTGTGTTATGACACTATCCGCAGGAACCGAGAGTTTTATCCGACCCTGGCTTATGAACCTTTCTGCGACAGTCTGTCTTCTAACCTTAGGTTTCGGTGTTTCGACTACCCTAGCCTTTGGTGGTCTACCTCTCCTTTTAGGAACCGTAACTTCTTGAGTTTCAACCACCTTAGCCTTTGGTGGTCTGTCTTTTCTTTTGGCAACCTTAACTTCTTTGGTTTCGGCTACCGCGGTTTTTGGTGGTCTACCCCTTCTTTTGGGGGATACTTCACCATCAACCTTGACCTTTGGTGATCTACCTCTGGGACGCTTGGGATTCCTGAGGTTTTCGAGCCTCTTCATCTCAGCGTTTACCTGAGGATCGTCTGTTCTCCATCTACCTCCCATTGTTGGTGGTAGACCTTCAACTCCTCTACTTAGTAAGCTTTGATATGCCTCCTCGACTAGTAAAGCCTTTGCCTTCTGCCTTTCGGAATATTTCCATGTTGGCATTATT